GCTGAGAATACTAGGTTTGTGTTGATTAAAACAAATTAAATGGAGCAATTATAATAAAAATAATTAAAAATACTCCAGAAAAAAAAAATGTCAAGTTTAACCTAAAAACCACTATACAAAGCCCAAACAAAAGTCTCTGCTATATAACTAATGCCCATCTGCAATGATAAGGAGGAGACAGTCTTAAATAAAAGAGGCTTAAAAACAAAAACAAAATAAAAGAACTAAGACAAAAAGCTAATTTAAAATTCTAAAAATCACACCCCTAAATAAAAAAAAAATGCTAATAAAACATACATACATACATACATACATACATACATATATAAATAAGATACATAACTAAAACACAGATAGAGACATGCTCAATAAAAAGCTCCTTGCGTCACTCCCTTATAACCAATTAACAAACAAAAATGCTTATAAAGGTCTAATACTCCTATATAAAAGATGCTTAAAATTAAAAATCTGTGTGCTTGTTACATAAAATTATTCCGCTTACACCTTATATTGCTAGCAATAAATCTTCTTTATAACTTTCACCCCTGATATCTTTATTGGCTTTTACATACCGGACACGATCCCAGACTTGAGCTGGGGCTCAACAGGAGGGGCACAAGAATCATCCCCCACACCCAAGGAGCCTGTACCCTGGCAGCGTGCCCATGCCAGGAACTCCAAAACAGTCCCTGGCTGCTGCCACTTTAAGAGCAACAGCCAAGGCAGTCAAAGGGGTTCCTGGCACACCTAAAACTGCTGCCCTGGCTGCCCTCGTAACTCATGGGCTCAACCCCCTCCCACACACACTCCTACTCTTGAAACCAGCATAGAGTCTCCTCCCCCCACAAGCTCTCAGAACCAGGTGACCACTTGCCCCCACCTCACCCCAGGAACCCGCATACTCCTTGCTCCTGCCAGAGGTTTTGCCCTCCGTGCCACCTTAACTTGTTGTACCACTGATTTAACTGTTTATTGTGGGAGATTTGAGATTGGCAGTAGCAACTGCTGCTTAGATGCAATAACCGAAATACCTACTGCACATCCTTCTCAACTTACCAACAAACCAACTTTGTGGGGCAGACACCAAACAAGGGACACAAAAAAGTATTCATGCCAGAAATCTGAAACAGTGGGAGATTCATTCTTATGTTACTGACCCTCTTTCTACAACTTTAATTTCATGATGCTGTCTTTTGAGACCTATATACACCAACAAAACAAAAGGATGTCAGCACTGAGAAACATGACTAACTTTAGCACTAAAATGAAGCAAAGCCGAGAGTTATGCTCTAACAGTTGGCCCTGGTGACTAAACCCTTTATTTCTTCCTTCCCTTGCCTCTACTTCAACTTTTTTTGCTTTTAAGTAGCTTAACATTAAATGGTAGTGTCAGAAAAATCCCTAGGTATTGTGCTGAGAACATACTGCATAAGCATTTGGGAAGCAAAACAAAGCAACTTAATGTGCTGTGTTGAATACATTTTCAAATAGCTTTTAAATTATGAAAACTATTATGAGAAGCCATAAGTCTTCTATCCATCACTTGTTGGAAAGTCCATTTGTGTTTTGTAGAGGAGAATAAGCCATGCTTTTTTCCTTAAGTGTTCATCCTAACCCATTTTAGTCCTTCAGCTTTACAGCAGTCCTAATCAATAAAGTTAATATTGCACCATCTGAATTCACTGCAAATGTTCTGTCCCTATGGCATTTCTTAAAAAAACAAAACAAAACAAAACAAAAAAAAAATAATAATAATAATAATAATTTAAAAAAATCATGAACAAAACCTTTACTGGTTGGTTTAAGCTGCAAATATCTTTACCATTCCCTTCCTTTAACCCTTTTGAGTATTTCACCCTCTCTCTCACCAGAGGCTCATCTTACTGGACTCCAAGATGAACATGAGTCGTCGGTGCAACGAAATCATCAGCAAAGCTAACCACACTTTATCATGCATTAGCAGATGCACAACAAACAGATCTAAGGAGGCAATACTTCCCCTCTATGTGGCACTGGTCAGACCACAGTCGGAGTACTGCATCCAGTTTTGGGCACTGTACTTTAAGAAGAATGTGGAAACCTCGAGAAGGTCCAGAGGAAGGCCACTCATATGGTTAGGGACTTACAGGACAAGCCCTATGAGGAGAGATTAAGGGAACTGGATCTCTTCAGCCTCCGCAAGAGAAAGGCTACCTATAAATTCATTAGGGAGGGGCAGCAAGGAACCAAAGATGCTCGGTTCACCAGGGTGTCTCTTGGGGTAACAAGGAACAATGGTCACAAACTGACAGAGAGTAGATTTAGACATCACGAAGAACTTCATGGTAAAGCGTGGCCAGAATTTGGAATCGTCTTCCAAGGGAGGTGGTGCTCTCCCTTACCTTGGGGGTCTTCAAAAGAAGGCTGGATAGGCATCTGGCTGGGTGCATCTGACCCCAGCACTCTGTTCTGCCCAGCCCGG